AATCTGTTTAAAATTGCATGTTTCAATGTGTTATTTAGTCTACAAGTATTTGTTCATGTTTGTATAATTTAAATAATTTATTTGCATGAACAATTTGTTTTAAAAATCTAATTTAATGTGTTTATTGCATTATATATGTGTTATGTGCATAATGTGATTTATGTGATATAATTTGCAATAAAATGTTTTAGAAGCCTGAGCTAAAAGTTAATTTATTTGTTAGTTTCTAAAATATTTTGGAATCTGATTTGCATGTAAAATTTATATAAAGTTGTTTCTAAATATTAATTTGGAATATGTGTGTTAATTTTGTTAGTTTCCAAAATTTGTTTGTTTTGATTGGAAATTACCGTGTATATGATTAATATATATTGGTATGTGTGGTTAATTGTTTGTGGAGTAATTTATGCTACTAACGAGATGTTTGAGTATGATTATGTTTGTGGTACACGATTTTGAGAAGAAAATCAGGAGATAAAGGAAGAAAATCAGAGTTTAATTAGGCATCAAACCTCCAACCATAAACTACTTCTACCCTTTCTAAACCTCCACCCAACCTAAACCTCCACCCATAATCCTCTCCCAAATCAAAATCCTTCCCAAACAGATTTACCCTCTCTTTCAATCGACACCCGCATCTCGCCTGTCAGAAAAATCACCCCATTAATCGATCCCCATAAACAAATCTCAAGGAGATCAGAACCCAAATCCTTCCTAAGTGTCTCTTCAAATCTCCACCCTCTACACCTTACGTGCATTGGGAATTTCTAAAGAGGTGTGAGCATTAAATGCTCTTGTCTGCTAATGATGATATTTTCTCTTTCCTCGTAACACCATCTATCAGATGACTCATCTACCCTAAACTCACCCAATCGACACACCTCAACCAAAGGGTACAATTGAGAAGTCTCATCTCTCTCTCTTAAATTCGAAAAACCCCTTCGAGTCATCCTCCTCATATAAACCCCTCACTTATCTCTCAAAAACTCTTTCAGACTTTCAGAATATCAGAAAACTCTCTCTTAAAAATTATCCTTCTTCTCAAAACCAATCTGATCATCACGGCTCAATCTGGAAGAAAGCAAATTGATCCTATTCTAGCCCTCTCACAACAAGTGACTAATGGGATGGTACTCAACCCTGAGTTTTTCAAACTAGGTTCTACCAACAAGGACACGGCCGTGAAAATTCTTCAAGCTCTAAAAGACTGCGGACTGTTTGATTTCTTCACCTACAACTACTTCGGAACCTTTGAAGAAGATGTAGCCGAATTTTATCTACACGCAGTCATGAAAAAAGATTCAATTAAATCCAGAGTTGGAGGATCAGAAGTTTCGATCACTGAGAATGACATACACAAGTGCTTCAGTTTTCCTGAATCTCAGATAATGCCAGAATCTCACAGCTATGTTGTTCAAAATTTTTGGAATGAGATTCGTGGTCCTACGGCTCCAATCTTCTATGATGTATCCGCTCATAAGAACTTGTTTAAGTTTGAATATGAGATGTTGTTGGACATGATTTACAAGATTCTTGAACACAAACTGGGAAGTACTGAAGATTTGACTGCATCAACAGTATGCTTAATGGACGGCATTATGAAAGGAATAAAATTCAAATGGGCAAAATTTATCTACAGGAAGATGGTTATATTTGTGCATGCTGCCAAACCAATGAAGAAACCTGCTGTGGTGGATCGTTTCTATTAGAATGTTGGATATGGTCTCATCATTGGAGAACTGCTAAGGAAGAAGACAATTCCAATGAGAAAGCACAAAAATATTGGAATCTACAGAGTACTCTTCAGAAAATTCAGCCCTAATTTTGGGAAAAGATCAAGCCAGAGAAAAGGACAAGAAGGTGGGAGTTCTACAAGTTCAAAGACACCTCAAAGCTTAAGAATGAGAAGCAGCAAAGCAATCTCAGCCTCAAGTAATCAAATTGGATTAAGTAATCGGTCTGGAAGAGATCAAGAAGCCATCAGTACGACTATGACTGTTGTTCCACTCAAATATGCCGAACCAAACATGTAGGCCGAAGGAGTTGACGATACAACAAGAATGGAATTTGCAGGAGTTGATGTGCAAGTTTCTAATGATCTACAACGAAGGCTCTCGAGTCAATCTGCAGCCGAAGGAAGTGCATGACCTATAGTTTTTAACTCAGCTCTCATTCAAGATGATCCGGAGCTGCTAAGAGAATTAATAATGGTGCAAACTTGAAGAGAATGGAAACTTGAAAGATATCATTCTTTCATGTCAAAAATCACCCCAGATTTGATATGGAGTGAAGATTTTTCTTTGGAATGGTGCGGAACGAACGTGATGCTAGATGCACTCAACATGGATTTAAATCAAGTCTATCACATGAAGCTACACGAAAAGGCAACCAGACAGAAAGGAAAAGCACCAATAAAAGGAGGAAGTACGGCTCAAGACCGTATAGCCGAACAAGAAAGACATAATAAAATTTCACTTCAGTTAGTGTGACACACCAAAAATCCACACTCCAAACCATGAATTAATTGAGTAATTACTTCTATTTCTTTTGAAGAATTGATTCCTAAAATCTTGATTTTTTGATACTCAAGGACTAGTATTTGACTAGTCAATCTTTAAGTGGCGTTGTACCTTGTGCTTTGAGAGGAGTTCCCTGGATCCTTACACTTTCTAAGAGTTAGTAAGGGTATCCTTGTCTTTTCACCAAGAGCTAGTTTTGTAACCTAAACCTAGAAGACTTCTTCATTTTTCATCCCTTACATTTCCTAGAAAATATCTCTACCTTCTCTCTAGAATAGAAGAGTAGCTTGTTCTTCAAGCCAAAAGAAGCCATTGTCAAGATCCCAAGTTTTGCTTCCAAGATTCAATCTTTCCTCTATTTTGGCATCTAGAAGGGTAAGATCTAAGCTTGTCTAGTCTTTTTGGTTCCATCTTGGTTGTCTTTTTCTTAAAGGTTGGATCTTTATGATCTTTTGGTTTGATCTTGAAGTGGGTTTGGCTAGTGAGCTTAGTGGAGAGCTTGTTGTGGTGTAAGAAGAGTCTTTTGGTCTTCAAGAGGTAACCCATGCTCTACAAAACCTATTTTGCTTACCTATATATGATTTCTTGGCTTCTACTTGTGTTTTGCTATGAAATGTGAAAGTTTATGCATTTATCTTGTGATATTGCATATCTAGAGCTTGTGTTTAGGATTCCTTTGTGCAATTGCTTGGCATTTTCCTTGGTTCAAGTCATTTTTGTTGTGTTTGGTGAGATTTGGCATGTTTTGGACTTGAATTTGTGCTTGGAGAAGAAAATCCCCGAAGGGATTTGTTGTGGAACAGGAGTGTTCCCGCAGGCGGAACGGCGGGCGGGGCACCACCCGCCGGCCTACCCGCAGGTACATAGCCTGTGGGAATATGTTCCTGCGGGCGGAACCACGGGTGGGGCACTACCCGTGGGTCCACCCGCGGGTACATGGTTGGTGTTGTGATGGTATTTGTTCTCCGTGATTTGTTTGTCTCGGTCTTTGATCTTTTGGCCTCCCGATGTTCTTTTGTGGAACTATTTGAGCGTCTTCTTGATGTTTCGTAGGTCTAGAGCTTTATGGTAGGTATCCATGTAGGATCTTTGGTGTTGTGAATCGTGCTAAGTGTTCAACATTGTGTTTCGTTGAACCGTGTGGTGTCTTGTGTGTTCCTCGGAACTATCTTGAGTTTTCCCGTTGTTGAGCTTGCTAGTTATTATCTTAATGCTAGCGTCGTTGTTGTCGATGGGTGGTGACCCGTCTCTTGATTGAGTATGTTTCCTACCTCTTTTGCAATCCGTTGCTTGTTTCGTGTGAGTGGTGGTGCGTGTGTGGCTTTACCTGGATTGCACGATTAGTGGTATGGGACGCTAGTCACCAAGGTATTGCAGCGGTCCTCGTGGTGGCCGTGACGTGATTATGGAGTTGTGGTTGAGTCCACGTGTTTGGGGGATAACATTGTGTTATCCGGGCATGTGTTGCCGTGAATTGGTGGGATTTCGTTGGTGGTTATAGGTGGGGGACGACGGTCCCGGCGGAATAAGGTTGGACTTGGCTGTACAGGGGTTTTCTGGAGGTAATGGTTGGCTTTGAAGGTACAAGGTTAGGGGTAGCCATAAGGTTGGAACAGGGCATAAGGAAGGCATATCAACTCGTGATGTGTGATGTCACGAGGGCTTGTGAAGCCGTTGTTGTGTGATCTTCTCTCGTGACGTGTGTAGTCACGGAGTCTTGTGGTGTTTTGGCATGTGTTGCCGTTGGGTGAGTCTTTATCCTTGTGTGTGGTTAACCTTTGTGGTTGGGACGTGTTCCCGGTGTTATCCTTGTGAGTGGTGAGTCTTGTGTTGTCTTTTGATCTTGGCTTTTGACTTATATATATGTATTCCGTTTCGAAAATGGTTTTTATATCTTATATCTACCTATTTATGATACTTAACGGTATTGGTGGCTTACCAGCATCTTTCGCTGACCAGGCGTCGCCCCGATGTTTATCTTTGTATCTTTCAGGTGATGCGTAGTCGAGAGTGATGTCTAGAGCCGGTAGCTTAGCACCTGTATCTTTAGACAGTGTTTTTTTTTTAGGCCTGTGTGCCAATGTCTTTAGATTGTTCTAGTTTGTTGTTTTTGGGATAGTGATACACTTGCAGATTGTCGCCGTAGCGTATGTCAAGTGTGGTATACGTGGCATAACACCCCGTTTTGGATTCCTTTTATCCAGTTATCTTTCTATCTTCCGCTGTGCTAGTGTTTTGTTGTTAATCTGCATGTGTTAAGACTTATTTTTAGGTCTTGTTGTTTTGGGGGTGTTATAGTTAGTATCAGAGCCTAGGTTTGAACCTTGGTTTAGAGCCTAGGAAGAGTTGAGTCTAGACTTTCTAAGTGTTTAAGTGTGTTTTGAGACCTCTAAGCGACCTTAAGATGCTAAGTGTTAAGCTTAGGACTGTAGGTTGCGCGGTGAGATGTGTGTTTTTTCTGTCTTGCTTGCTTGCTTTTTGTGGTAACCTTGTTGTAGCAGAAGTGCGATGCCTCCTCGTCCTCGTGCCCGCTCCCCAGAGACCCCGACCAACGAGCAGCTCGCCCAGAATCTCCATCAGTTGACGCAGACGATGCAGTCTCTTAGTGAAGCTTTGTTGAACAACAATCAAGCTGCGCCGCCTCTGCCTCCGGTTGGGCACCGCAATGTGGGTCGTTTAGTGTCTGGGCATCGGCCGCCTTCCTTTGCTGGTGAAGAAGACCCTGTAGTCCTTGAAGAGTGGCTACGGGTGTTTGATAAGTTTTTTTTTACCGTGGTGGGTTGTCCCGAAGAGAGGAGAGTAAAACTGGCAACGTTCTACTTCTGCCAAGAAGCTAATCTGTGGTGGGTTCATGAGAGTCCGGCCTTTCTTGAAGAGCCTGGGTTTGATTAGGCCGCGCTCAAGGACAGGATGCGCGAAAGGTTCTACCCAGCGCATGTGCGAGCCGACATGTTTGATGAGTTCCTTCATCTGCAGCAAAGACCCCTATCTGTGGTGGAGTACCACAAGAAGTTTTTAGAGCTGGCGCGCTTCGCGAGGGTGTTGGTGCCTACAGAGCTTGCCAAAGTTGAGCGTTTCGTTGCCGGTCTGAATTATGAGGCACGAAAAGCGTTGACGGTGAGTAGACCCAATTCCCTCAAGGATGCGTATCTGTGTGCCGCGGATCTGTTTCGTGTTCAGCAGCTTCAGAAGAGTTCGCTTGAGTTGGCTAGGAAGAGAGTTGAGAGTGGTGGTTCTTTTGCTTTCAAGAAGCCCCGACCAAGTTTTCCGGCTAGAGTTATGTCATCTTCTTCTCAAGGACCAGTTAGGATGGAGCCTTCGGTTCAAGCTAAGTCGGTTGGTTGTCGCAAGTGTAGGAAGGTGCATCCGGGTCAAGTTTGCTCTGGCCAGGCGTTTAAGTGTTTTCGCTGTGGGGTTGTTGGTCATAGAGTTGCTCAGAGAGCGTTGCCGCCACCCCCGGGAGTCGGAGGAGCACCAGGATGGAGTTCGAGTCGTGGAGCTATTGGAGCTAGGCCGCCGGGGAGAGTTTTCGTGATGGCACGTTCGCAGGCGGAGTCGGAGGGTCTGGTGGAGGAGGAGTTAGCAGGTAACCCTTGTTTTGAGCCTATCCTTGTGTTCCCGAGAGCTTTGTGTTCTTTGTTGCCTTGGGTGCTATCTTGTGTTTTGTAGTTGTCTTTGTGTTCTTTGTTGCCTTGGGTGCTATCTTGTGTTTCGTAGTTGTCTTTGTTTGGTAATCCTTGGCTTGTTTCCCTTACTTGTTTTTCGTTGGATGCTTAGTATAGACTCTTTTCTTGCTAAGTGTTTTCTTTAGTTGGCATCTTGTTTGTGGTAGCCATCTATCCTTGAGTTATCTTGTGCTTAGCCCAATTCTTTCACGACTTGGTTGTTTTTACAACAATTCCTTGAGCTTTTCCCTAAATTTTCCAAGTATTCTTTGATTTGGAAAATAGCAATCCCTACCAAAATCTTTCCTAGTGTAGCCTAAAAGTTGAGCCTAATGTTTCTTTATAGCCTTTGAGTTTCAAACCCTAGCTAATTTCTTTTCTACCCAACCTCTGAACCACTTAAGCCAATTATCTTTCTTGGAACTTAACCCATTTTAATTCTTTCTAAACCTTAAATCCCACTTTGTTCAAAATCCCCAAATTTAATCATCTTTTTCCCCAATCTAACCCAAATCCCTAATTTCTGTCACCAAAATTCTCTTCTTCTTTTTCCTTCTCCCTACCCGTGAGCTACCCGAAGCCACCCCACCCCGTAGCTCCTTCGCAACCCACCACCACCAACCTGCCCGTCGTCGTTCGCCGCCGCCTTGCCGCCGGAGCCTCGCCGTCCCGTCGCCGTCCTGCTGTGTGTCGTGCCGCCGAGCAGCCGCGATAGAGAGAGAGAGCTCGAGAGAGAGAGAGAGAGAGCAGCGAGAGAGGGAGAGCCGCGAGAGTGTGGTAGAAGAAGAAGATGTTGTGGGCTTTGTTTGTTGAGCTTTGGATCATCTTTCACCATGCCTAGAAGGTCAAGTTTAGCAAGAAAAGCGGAATGGGTGGATGCCCACTACCTTGTGCTTGAAGGTAAAGCTTTTGACCCGGAATCTTTTTCAAGTTCCTTGTTGGATTTGCTTAAGTTTCAAGGTTTGCTAGATGGTTTTCTCCCCATAAGGGCCGAGACTTACCCGAGTTTGGTGAAAGAGTTTTACCATCACATGGTTGTGACGAAGAAAGATGAAAGGCTTGAGATAACCTCTAAGGTGAGAGGTCTGAAGGTTGTGTTGTCTAAGAAGAGGTTAGCTCAGTTGTTGAGTTTGTCCGCTACCGGAGTGGCTCAGTACAGTGGCCATTCTTGGATTAGTACGGATACCATGGGGTACCGTGACTATTTGACCTATCTGTTTGGCCGTACAAGTGGTTTCACTCAAACTTCGAGGCCGGAAAGGAAGTGGTTGTCTGCGGAACAAAGGATCTTGGTTATGTTGGTGTCAGATTGTTTGTTGCCTAACAACAACAAGAGCAGTTTGTTGGGTAAGTTGGAATGTACCTTTGCTTTCTGTTTGAAGAATATGGTTAAGTTCAATCTGCCTGCTTTGATGATGCAACACATGGTGTTTTGCCGGGATCACAACCGGAAGAGTTTGCCGTATGGCATGGTGCTAAGTTGGATCTTAGTTATGAAAGGTGATAGTGTGGATGGTTGTCCCTCGAAGGCTGTGGGAAAGATGGTGTTGGATACCGCCAATCTTCGGAGTTGTAATCTGTTTCAGTTGGATAGTGGTGAGTACATCACGCTTGAAGAGGTTGCTAGGAAAGCACCTGTTGAGAGCGCAGAGTTAGCTGCTGGGCTTGAGATTCATGCCAGGAAGTAAAGCCTTGCAGTCCAGAGTTTGGGTGGTGACGAAGAAGTTGAGGAGGAAGCAGATCAGGAAGAAGAGGAAGGAGCACCGGAGACCGCTGAAGCTGAAGTAAGTGAATTAGACGGTGAGGAACGCCATAGAAGCAAAGAAGTTCGCACCAAGAGAGGGCAGGATGTCGCCTCTTTGCTTCATCAGCAGAACAGTTTGATCGCCGAAGGTTTTGCGTTTGAGGTCGCAGTTTGCCGCAGTGCATCAGAGGCTGGATCGGTTTGAAGCTAGTTCTAGCCACAGAGTTGAAGCCGAAGAAGAAGAGTCTGAAGAGGCCGAAGAGTCTGAGAGTGAGGAGTTCTAGTGGTGTTGTGGTAACCCCGTTCGCTTTTTCCTTGTTGTTTCTTAGCTGTTGTAGCTTGGTGTTTGGTTGTTGTGTGCTTTGTGTTCTTGCTTGTTTTGTTTGTTGCCTTGTTGTTTAGCTAGTGTGTTAGTTGGTGTTTGGGTTAGTAGTTTAGTTCTTGGTTGTAGTCTAGAATTTGGTTGTCGTGTTGAGGTTAGAGTTCTTGATGCCCAATCTATCCGTTTGTTGACCTCTTGCCAATTCTTGAATTCGTAATGTCTTTCTCTTTGCCTTGGAACCTTGTGAGAACTTTTGGAGTTTTCGACCAAAAGGGATATTCTTGGACATCTTGTCACAATTTTGTTTCCTTGTTACCTTTCGTTCTTAATTCGTTGTACCTAAGTTTCGGGGACGAAACTTCTTTGAAGGGGGAGAGGATGTGACACCCCAAAAATCCACACTCCAAACCATGAATTAATTGAGTAATTAATTATATTTCTTTTGAGGAATTGATTCCTAAAATCCTGATTTTTTGATACTCAAGGACTAGTATTTGACTAGTCAATCTTTAAGTGGCGTTGTACCTTGAGTTTTGAGAGGAGTTCCCTTGTTCCTTACACTTTCTAAGAGTTAGTAAGGGTATCCTTGTCTTTTCACCAAGAGCTAGTTTTGTAACCTAAACCTAGAAGACTTCTTCATTTTTCATCCCTTACATTTCATCCCTTGATATTTCGTAGGTCTAGAGCTTTATGGTAGGTATCCATGTAGGATCTTTGGTGTTGTGAATCGTGCTAAGTGTTCAACATTGTGTTTCATTGAACCTTGTGGTGTCTTGTGTGTTCCTCGGAACTATCTTGAGTTTCCCCGTTGTTGAGCTTGCTAGTTATTATCTTAATGCTAGCGTCGTTGTTGTCGATGGGTGGTGACCCGTCTCTTGATTGGGTATGTTTCCTACCTCTTTTGCAATCTGTTGCTTGTCTCGTGTGAGTGGTTGTGCGTGTGTGGCTTTACCTGGATATCACGATTAGTGGTATGGGACGCTAGTCACCAAGGTATTGCAGCGGTCCTCGTGGTGGTCGTGACGTGATTATGGAGTTGTGGCTGAGTCCACATGTTTGGGGGATAACATTGTTTTATCCGGGCATGTGTTGCCGTGAATTGGTGGGTTTTCGTTGGTGGTTATAGGTGGGGGACGACGGTCCCGGCGGAATAAGGTTGGACTTGGCTGTACAGGGGTTTTCTGGAAGTAATGGTTGGCTTTGAAGGTACAAGGTTGGGGGTAGCCATAAGGTTGGAACAGGGCAAAAGGAAGGCATATCAACTCGTGATGTGTGATGTCACGAGGGCTTGTGAAGCCGTTGTTGTGTGATCTTCTCTCGTGACGTGTGTAGTTACGGAGTCTTGTATTGTTTTGGCATGTGTTGCCGTTGGGTGAGTCTTTATCCTTGTGTGTGGTTAACCTTTGTGGTTGGGACGTGTTCCCGGTGTTATCCTTGTGAGTGGTGAGTCTTGTGTTGTCTTCTGATCTTGGCTTTTGACTTATATATATGTATTCCGTTTCGAAAATGGTTTTTATATCTTATATCTACCTATTTATGATACTTAACGGTATTGGTGGGTTACCAGCATCTTTCACTGACCGGGCGTCGCCCCGATGTTTAACTTTGTATCTTTCAGGTGATGCATAGTCGAGCGCGATGTCTAGAGCCGGTAGCTTAGCACCTGTATCTTTAGACAGTGTTTTTTTTTTTAAGCCTGTGTGCCAATGTCTTTAGATTGTTCTAGTTTGTTGGTTTTGGGATAGTGATACACTTGCAGATTGTCGCCGTAGCGTATGCCAAGTGTGGTATACGTGGCATAACACCCCGTTTTGGATTCCTTTTATCCAGTTATCTTTCTATCTTCCGCTGTGCTAGTGTTTTGTTGTTAATCTGCATGTGTTAAGACTTGTTTTTAGGTCTTGTTGTTTTGGGGGTGTTACAGTTAGCTCTACAAAGGTCAGTCTATGACACACATCATTATCCAGGTAATACATCTCTTGTGGATAATGAAATTTTTTGATGAAAGAACTGAAGGGACGGCACTCATTGATGTTCCAATCATGAGCACTGAAAATCATCTGGACATACCTGTGAAAGTCCATGATGCTTCTTTATTGATATCTGATTTGACCCCCACAACAATTAATGTGAATCTGGAATGCAATGAACAACTTGTGGGATCTAATGAAGCTGAAGTGTCAGTACGAGAAGAATTAAGAGGAGAAGTGTCAGAAGAAAGAAGAAGAGATATACCAGTGGAAGTTGCAGTAGAAGTTGCTACTGAAGGTAGATAACAAATTACAGAGAATTTATCTAGTGTATTGCCAGTACACCATACCGAGTCTACCATGTCTATCATGGACCCTGTTCTAGAAAATGAAGATCTATTTGCAGACAACTATACAAGTATAGAAGTCTTAGAAGAAGAGATTGGTGATCTCAATCAAGAGGCCGAATCACCTGAAGAAGAAGAAAGGATGCAACTCATTGATACACCCGTTCTTACAGATCCGATAACGAGTCCATTCGGATCCCCTCAAAATTTTGTACAGACAAATGATCAAGAAGATGGCATTTTTACATCCTTATTTGCCAAAGTTGCCTAATCCGGTGATGTTATTTGTCAAACCATTGGAGAAAAGTTGGTCGAACAAAATCAAAAGATGGATCAACAACACACGGATACACAAGTCAATCTGAAGGAATTAATGGAGCATCAAAATATTTTGAAGACTCAGATTGACAAAGCAGAAAGGATCTTGAAAGGGGAATTGACAAAAGGCTGACTTGAAGTGATTCAACTGATGAAGAAGGAACGTGAAGCCGCTAAAAAGATTAACAATGAACGCCACTTACGACAAGTCAAGGCGATTCAAGATCAAGAAAGCCGAATCAACAAACTTGAAGTTGAGCTCACAATTGCAACAAACAAGCTGGAAAATGTACAAACTGTTTCTATTGAAACACACAATAGTGTTGAAGCTGTGAAGGCAAACCAAGACCGAGATTGTAAAACCCTTGCATTTTTGGTTGATAACGCCAAAAGGGGGGAAGAAATTCCCAGTCACTTGGCTTTGCAACAACAAGAATTTATTCTTGGAAGCCAACAACAGCCAGTAATATCGACCCAAGGTAGAGGTTGAAGCCGCGGACAATCCTCACAAGGACCATCTCAGATTGGTTTTGCTCAGTTCGCAAATCCTAGTCTTGGTACGAGTACATCGAAAGTTGCTGAAACTTGTGGCTGGTTTTATTGCTCTAAAGGTACCGCCACTCAGACAACAATATGGACTAAGGAAAATCTACCAAGCATGATCAAGAAATGGCCTGCAGCCGATCAAGCCCAATGGATATGGGAGAAGAATAAAGAAGAAGAAGGCAAAAGGAAAAGAACCGAGATGTGGTATGAACTAAGAGATTTCACCGGAAATATGGGCATGAATCTTGGAGAAGAAAGAAGCTTTGAAGAATGTGTCTTATGGTGGGAAGCCGGAGTTCTTCCGGGCAACAATATCAAAGAAGCTTTTGGATATTACATGGCCGGGCAACTTACAAAGAGATTTCAGAATGCAAAGTTCAAAGATGATTTCTTCAAGCTCAGAGAACATGTCAAGAAAATTTTGAAGAAAGACATGGGAGTGAAGAAACCCAGAAGGTAATCTGAAAAATTTCTTAAATTGATGTTTTCGCTATTTTCGAATCTCTGTTGCGTTTTTCTCTAAAATATTCGAAATATCTCAATAATAATTTCCTATGGTCTATTTTGAGTTTTATAAATTTATTTGTCTTTTGTAATTAGACCATCGTGAATTAAAAAGACAAGGAATGTCAAAACGCACATAAAAAATAAAAAAAATGATGTTGATCAAAAAAATTAAAAACACTAATACAAAATTGCAGATAGGCTACCATTGTAAAAGACAATAGGCGACCATTTTACAATGGTTGCCTATGAGAGGCTCGCGGAAAGCCATGGACTTTACGCGACTGTTTAAAAATGGTCGCGCATTGTCGGTAATACGCGACCGTTCTTGACAAAGACTGGTCGCGTATTGTTTTTTTTTTTTTATTCAAATGTAATACGCGACCATTCTTGGATAGGACCGGTCGCATATTGTTTTTTTTTTAAATCAGCTTTCCGCGACCATTCTTCAACAAAGAATGGTCGTAGATACTGTTTTAAAAAATTAAAATTAGTTTATTAGTTTTCCTAGTGAGTACTTTTTCTAATATTCCTAAAGCTTCATATGGGTATAATTTTGCAGGAAACCAAAAAAAAAAAAAAAACTTGATGATATAAAGACTAAAATTAGTGTAGAATTTCCAAAGGTCAAAGCTTTTCTAAAATATGCAGAATTTCACATGACATAGCAGACAAAGTAGTAATATATACCCAGACTTCAGCTAGAGACATGCAAAATCAAGAATTAACACCATTAGCATATGCAGGAAAAACAGAAACAATCTGGTTATTAATCAAGAATTAACACCATTAGCATGTCAATTTTGTTTAGACTAATATGCTCTTGATAAATTTTATTAAAACAGCTTCTTAATTAATAATTTTGAAATAATATTCTAATAAAACTTCTTAACAATCTTAAAAATGAATTACAATAAAGTTTAATGCCTACCTTTCTAAGAACTTTCTCAGGAATTATTCAACACACTTATAGCAAATTCATCTAGATTCTTAATTTGTATATGCCTGTCATTGATTTAATCAGTAAACTGATCCAATGAATAATATATTGGTTCTATTTGATAAATACAAGTACACATTGTCAGAAACAAGCTGGAGTAGTCTGAATAATATTTTATATTTCTATTATGTAATTTCTAATTTTCTATTATGCTTTTGTATAAAACTAATAAAAGCACACATTGACATTCCTGTAGTGCTTTTGGGAGCTTTCAAGAAATCAATATCTCATATTGTAGCCTAAATAGCCTATCTTCTTGAGCAATCTCCTCTTCCATAGAGTTGAGCTCCAATATGGCAATATTGTAGGATTACATTTTCTGTTTGCTGTTCTGCTGCTTACTAAAAGACAATTCTAAAATGCAATATATTTAGTCATGAGTTTTATTTTGTGATTGAATCACTATCTTACTGTTAGTGCAATGTTTGTTAATCACACATAGTTCCATGTCTAAAAAATGAAGAGAAGAAAAATAAATGACATAATTTCTTAATTATTTTAACTTAGACTACACAACATTAGTGAAAATTCTGTTAACCTACAATAGTTCCTAAATTTAAGTGGCCTGCAGATTGCAACTGCTAACTAAATAGTAAATACAACTCTCCTACCCTTCTGTCATTGTGTTTGGTAACAAACAAATAGAATAAGTTGCTAAGGGATATAGAAGAATAGGAATAGTCAATTCAGACATATACACATATATTACAACTTAGAACAGACTAGTAAATAGAAATGCATATAAAATATTGCTTTTTTGTCTGTAGAATCATAAAATTAATACTCGATCTGCAACTAACCAAGATGAGCTTTCACAAAATTATCACCATTTTCATTTTTCAAATCATAACAAGATACAACTATCACATTGATCACCAGTCTAGTTGAGCTGCAGAGTTCTAACAATTCTAGCAAAATCATGACCTATAATACTCAATAATATTAAAAATAATCATTTTTTTGCAACAAACAATCAATTTTGTAATACTAATCTCTTTCAATGCATATATAAGGTAATCAACATATAAATTAAACCTTTTCTAATAGAAATATGAGAATAAAAGATCATAAGATCATAAGAAAATCCAGGAAATATTAGTTTGGTATTGAAATAAAAATGATTTATAGAAAATTAACCAGTAGATTCACCAGACTACAACAAGCAATCAATTTTGTAATACTAATCTTTTTTAGATTACAATCTAGCAGTAACTTATAGAAATTCACCAGTAGAGCTTTACCATAAACACTCTTCTCTCCGAATCTCAATAACCGCCCAAGCATTTTTTGTCCAGTGCTTCACTCCCATCAAATACAACAATTATCAAACAATGGCGAATGGAGTGATTGTTTAAGAAGCAAATCCGCAGGGAAAAAAATAACAGAGGAATGGAGAATAATATAAAGGATTTCTAATTATCACAACAACAAATTCAATAAAGGAGCAAAGAGCGGAGAGTTTATAGACATGGAGTGAAGAGTGAAGAGTGAAGAAGGGATTAAATACCTTAAAGGAATCTATGGTGGCGTGGCAACAATTTCTTCTTCCTATGAATGAAGGTTTCAACGGCTGATGATTCCTCGTCTAGATCATTGGTGGCGTATCTTAGAGCATGGACTGGCATGCAAATAACAAGCTATTCCATTGGCAAATACAATGGCTAAGCAAACAAATCTAGGAAATAAAGTCATTAAATATTCAGCTTGTTCCTATGCAACATCAAACTTGTAGTTTTGGTCTAACAAAATATACCTCCACATAATACATAGGTTCCATAAGCCTTGGGGTAGCCATAAGGAAGGATGAGTAAGCCACCTGTCTTGCGGTTGGGATGATCTGGCCTGTTCAAGGTGCATTGGCTCAGCTGCAATCTTTGCATCAACTATTTTGAATTTGACACCTCTGATGGGCTCATCACAAAGGGGTCCTTCTCGAGCACCCCACTGAAACCTGTTAAAAATAATTTAGTCCCATTTCGAGGTAAGGGCCCAAATCATGAAATATGAAGAGGAAATAGTTTAGGCTACCCTTGTACAACAAAATCCTTAACATATTTAATAAGCTCTCGTCAACTTCACTTGAAAGGGTATCATCCAGCAAAATGTTAGGTCCCTATTAATGCATTTAACCATCAGCCAGCAACACAAACCTCATCATAAGTGAGATCACATCATATAAATATAATTAAAAGCAATTCCTTAGTGAAAGTGAAAGTTAAGCAATTCTAAGATTACATTACCTGCCTATCAAGTCCAAATGCCCAAATAAATCATGCGGCAAGCAGATCCCAGTCATACAATTTTTCTGAAAAAAGTCACCAAGTTTCTTTCGCGACCAATCTATACTCACAACACCATTTTCAATGTCCTCAGCAAGTCCTTTCTCTAGTGGTTTAGGAATCTACAGAATTCCAAGTGCAACAAGTGAAGTGGGAACTTAAGTTTTCAACAAGGCACCTCCAAAGACTGTTACATTTTACCTTCTATATAAGAGACTTATGAGCCTTTCTAGTGGAAGACATATATTGCACAGAAGCACTTTGCAATGGTTCTTGATCAAATCTTCTTCTGGCATATATCCTTCCTTTCTTTCATTACTATTTTACTCCTTCCAGTTTACCATAATTTTAGAATATATAAAACCCACCATATTCCTTCTCAGGTCTACATTCACCATAATCCAAGAGGAAAAGTAACTAATACAATAGATAATGGTCAATACAAGAGTAAAGAAGTCATTGAGAGAAGACAAAAATTGATAATAAGTGTAGCAAAAGGAAGGTGGGGAAAAGAGGGACATACAATTGAAGTGGGGAGAGAGAGGATAAACCAATACTTATGGGCGGATGACATATTTTGGTTTTCCTTCAGCATCTTGTTGTCCAATTGGTGCTCAACAATGTATCAATGCGTCCATCATACAGTTTTTTTCTGTTAAGATTGAATATAAAACAATTTAGAACATAATTATACAAATATGGAAATGATATAAAAAAGCAACATGAAATTAAGTGATTTTGTCAACTTTAGGTCTATCATAAATGCACATTACTACATGAGTTTCTTTTCAGCAACCGCATCAGAAGCCAAAGAACTCTGACCAGGGAGAAACTCCAATTACTTTTTCCAGAAATTAAGAGAACATTACTGCATTCAGATACACAGGTATACGGATCAATTGATATAAGGTGTCTGTATATGTATATGTATATTGAGAGTGAAACGAAGAACCGAGAGGTTAAGCTGTTGCTGTTCAATTTTAGTGCTCCCAGAAGAGCTGTCTGTACGGTTACAACAAATCTTCCGGGACAATTTCCGGATCCCGTGGCGGAAAATTTCCGGCGGAAGCTGAGATTTGGCCCGGCTTCTCAACAGGAATGGCACCAACAAAGCGAGTGAGATGGAGCCGCTGCTCATTTTCGCTTGCAGCTTTCTCCGGTGATGGATAATACTTTTGGAACTCTTGGTGCTTCTGCTCTCACCGGCGTGGTGGCGGTTAGACGATCGAAGTAGACGGCGGATGAAGATTTTAGATCTGAGATGCGATTTTGATGGCCGTCGCTGTGGCGTGTGGCGGTGCGTCGCGGTGAACGAAGCAGACGGCAGTGGGTGGCTGGCGGCGTCAGACTATCGGCAGACGGTGTTGAAGATCAGAGCAGACAGTGTTGGGTATGAGAGGATGAGCAGACACGGTGTTGGGTATGAGAGATGAGCATATTAGATCTGATGGAGTGATGGGTAGATCTAGTCTAGGGTTAATATTAGGCAACCATTTCTATTGGAATGGTTGCCTATTATAAAACAAGTTCTATTTTAAGGCAACCATTTCTATTAGAAATGGTTGCTTATTATAAATCAATTTTTTTTTTAAAATAAATACAAAATGCAATGGGCGACCATTACAACTAACAATAGTGGCGGATTATTGATCACTTATTTACAAAATTTTCACCGCGAATTTTTGGGCTAAGATTAGGCAACCATTCTTTCAACAATGGTGGCCTATGGTCAATCTTCTATGTTCAATTTTGTACTAGTGAAATAATTCAAGATGTGTTTAGGAGCTTGTCTAAAAATTAATTCACAAGTTTTCTTGTGATTATGTCTAGAAAACCATTTGTTAAACTCATCTTAGCTTTGTCAAATAAATTGAGCAAAAAGAGATTATTTTTCAAAGACTTAAAGCCAATGACTGAGTATAGGTTTTGGCATTATCAAAAGGGGAGAAATTGTTAGGAATAAAGTGTAATGGTTTTGATATGCCAAATATGTATTTGTAGATCCCCCAATTTTATTTGTAGGTCTAGTAGAGTCTTAGACCATGATCGGGAAATTATTTAAGTTGCAAACGAGAAAAACAGAGGAAGATGCATGAAAATAGAAGAAGAAGATATCAAGCCGAAAATCAAGAATTTGTCTGGAAAAAATGACAAATTGAAGAAGAAGATGAATGATATAATATTCACGTCAATGCTACTCAAACAGATATCCCAGAAGAATTTTCGTGAAAGAAAATTAAGTTTGGAAGATTGCATGAATTTGACTTGGAGATCAAGCATCTAAGGAAAGAAAGGAGTACATCAAATGTGATTGGAGATTTAACCAATAAGCTGTATGGACGAAGTGGAAAATGCCTGATTTATTATGCGAAATGGCTCAAAGAAATTGGGAGCTACTTTCAGAGAAATTGAAATTGGGAGCAAGTTTCACATGGGAATCAATTCAAGATGGGAGCCAATGTAGAAATTGAAATTGGGAGCCAATTGAGGTTGTAGTATGGGATGCAATTTCAAATTGGGGACCGATTCAAAGAAGACATGGAGATCAAATTGAATTGAGATGAAATTCAATACCAGCAGAAGTCTGGGAGCCAATTTCGAAGTCAAAGTCAAATAACTCAAATTGGGAAGCAATTGAAAGCACTAGGAGTAGATTGTGAGCCAATTACAAGTCAAAGTCAATTGGGAGCCAATTACAAAGGAGAAATTCAAATTGGGTGCCAATTACAAGTCAATTGCAATTGGGTGTCAATTACAAAAGAGAAATTCAAATTGGGAGGAAGTTCACAACCAGTTTCAAGTCTGAGAACACCCAGACGTGAGAATGAAGAAGACGAAGATGAACTTACAGTGAAAATATTCTCACAAGGAAAAATACTAGTTTAACTAGTATGGGATTAAATTGAAGAATATTTTGAAGTATTTAAATCTCAAAGATACAAGGACCACTTCAGAGCTAATCAGAGAAGCCGTTCTACACTCAGATATTCCCACTCAACGTAAAACCAGAGGAATATCAGATGAAGTTTGGGAAACCATTCGCATGAAGTTCAAGCTCTCAAACGGCTAGCTTATCCTTTCTGACAACTTTGCAGAAGATAAGATAAGATCTCTGACAAAAAGATACAAGATTTAAAAAATGATATCGTCTCTTCCCAACGGGCAGATCCTCATTACCAGCTATAAAATGATGAAGATATGAAGACTTGAAGATAAGGGGAACGAATAGAGCAATAGAGCAAGATATACGAGCAAAGAGCAAAAATCCCATTTGGTACAGAGCATACCAAAAATCTTCAAGTGAGAAGTGAGAAAAGAAAAAGAACTCAGAGAGCTTCAAGAGAAAAATATTCTGAGAGTTCTTAAACAGAGCAAAGCAGTGCATAAAAATCAAGTGCTTTACTTGATACACTCAAAGAGAGAAAACACTCAGATCATTTAAGAGAAATCATTCCAGAGTGTTTATCTTCATCAAAGAGACCTGCGCATCATTGAAGATCAACTACAGAGTCTCGAAGTTGGAAGTAAGACAACACTTGTTTTGGAGCAAAACAAGAAAAGGGAGGAAAGTAGCACGGAGCTGTAAAATCCTGGATTGTCACACGGAGCTGTGAGATCCGAAGCAGCAGTGTCGGAGGCACTGGGTGTGATTAGTGCGGGCTTTGTGATCAAAGCACTAGATCACGGGATACGTTTTTACCGGAGTGTGGAAGACGGGGGGAAAGTAACGCGGAGTTGTGAAATCCTGGGATAGTAGTGCGGCGACGTGAAACCCGAAGTAGCAGTGTGGTGTCACTGGGCTTGATTAGTGCGGGCTTTGTGATCAAAGCACTAGATCACGAAAATTCATTGTATCTTGGAACCAAGAAGTGGTGGATATAGTGAATTGCTCTTGGAGATAAGAGCAAGTGGAGTAGGAGGATTACACCACCTCGCGAACCACTATAATTGTCTTGTGTTATTTACTGCTTTCTTTACTTAACTGTTCTACACGAGATATACTGCTCACACAATCTCACACAGACTTTATGTTTATTTAATTCCGCTGTGCACCATACTCTAACAATCTAGTTAAGAGTTTTGGTTTATCTCTGGCTTAGCAATTGCTGTGCTGTGCGAAAAAGTTTGAAAGTCTATTCACCCCCCCCCCCCCCCTCTAGACTTTCACCTTACCTCTTTTGGGACCAACACTTATGATTCAACCCAATCAACCTGTATTTCAATCTGTCTTCCTGCCATAATCTGTTACATTTGCAACAGTACATCAGGCCTTCCATGGGAATGTGTTTTTTTGTTACATGCACCACCCTTGCATGAAACATAGAACCAAGTCTGCCAAACTCTCTATTCCTACAATCTTTGTTGCAATCCAATACTCCCCCAGCTGTATTTGTAAAATATTACTTAATTCCTATTAACAATGTAAAAACATATTACAGTCTAATATTATGTGAACTAAAAAAAAAAACCTTACTTCTTTTCTTTGATAAATCTCTTCAATAGTAGACAACAATGCCATCACTCACCAAATGCGTAACTGACATAGACAAAGAGAGTCTAGACCCTAAATGTATACTCCTCAAATCCTCAATGGTGTGTGATTTTCTGGCAAACTGAAAAAAAATAAAAATTAAAATAGAGTTGTATATCAGTTAACAAAAAGAAAGGTTATGCTAACCTAACCCTAAATGCCCGACACTCTGGGGAATCATGGTTGAACAATAACTGCATGGCATCAAAAGAGCTTGAAAGACGTAAATCACCATCGGAAATAAAAATAGGAGCCAAACTCATTAAAAAAAAAAACAGAATTGTACACAATATGATAAAATGTTCACAAATCTTTATAAATATTCTCAAATCTGAATTGATCTTTGTATGTACACAATAATAACATAACCTACTATCCAAGATCTTGGCTCTGCAGAACTGAATCAAGTAACATCTATAGTTACACAAGAAGAAAACATATTTCAGTTACATGAAGAAAAAATATAGCAGTAAAGAAATGATTGAATAAAAAATACCTATTAGTTCTTTCTCGTCAACTTCTTTTTTGTCTAGCATGTTTCAAATGACTTTAAACGAAACATTTGGTTAGGGAATTCCACTCTCTTGTACTCTTTCACAGTTGTGTCATGCTTAAACTTTACCATGTAAAGTTCTGTTCTTATTTTATACTTTAAGAAGTTTGTAATGTACAGGAAATTCTTGGGGCAGAGCCACCTGGTAGTAAGAGGGGGCCTTGGCCCCCCAAAGAGATTTTTTTTTTTTTTAAATTTTTTAAATTTTTAATTTTTTATCTTATTATAGAGGCAATAGAGCTATTACCAAAAAAAAAAAAAAATAGAGGCAATAGAGCAGCACATGCTACACATTATGGCCTTTGGCGGCTTGGGCCCTCCAAAATTTTATTTATTTTTATTAGTTAGTATTATAAAAGCTAATTAGCTAGTGTCATTGTGTATTTGTGTGGGCGTGTGGCCACCATCACTCCCATCAGTCCATCACCAACCACTATCACACCTAAAACAAAGCTTCTAGAGTAAGCAAATTAAACCATCCAAATTCCAAATTTGCAAACCAAAAATGCAAACACAGTAGCCCGACGCGGCAGATATTCGAAACAATATATTCTCTTCAATTTTTTACTTGCATGTATATGGATAATTTTCTATTTCTTTTTTATTTTTTTAAATTCTTAATTTTTTTAAGAATTATTTTTTATTGAAAATTGATTCATCATCCTCACAAGTTACAACAACCGCCGTAAGCTCGGGGTAAATGCCAAAATAGTTAAATCATCTCTTTCGTTTCCTCAGTTGATGACTCACGACGGCAACCGCGGTGAACTCGGGCTACCGGCTACGAGTGTGAAGTGTCGGCGTTCTCCACTACTTCTCCTTTGGTTAGTGTATGTTTATACTTTTAAAAGTTTAATAGGATTTGCTAGAATTTGAATACTAGTGCATAAATCATAATGAAATCGCTAAATGGGCATTTGATGAGTTTGAAATTAGGTGATTTGATGAGTTTTGAAAATGATTGTAGCATGTAGTTATTGTGTATGTTATAAGTGCATAATGATTTGAATACTAGTGCAAGATATACTGTGTATGTTATAAGTGCATATTTTTATTATCTCTCAAATTGTGATTGGCCCCCCGCACCAACAAATCCTGGCTCCGCCCCTGGCCTTACCTTCCCTACTTTGAAGTGATTTATATACAAATACATTTATTAAATTATGATATAAAAGAAAACTTCATTAAATTTTGCATTACTCACCTCTGCATCATGGAATAAACATTCTCGGCTCTTGATTATACTTTTGCGCCTAGCTTCATATACTTACTAACCTCACTTCATGGCTTTCCTTGTCTGAGCAGGGTGGAGTTGAGAAGCAAGAACAAATTGTCTTGACATGAGAGCTGCTGCTAAATTCAATTGCCCAAAAAGTTGAATTGTATTTGTGTTGTGTTTACCATGTAACCTTAGCTATATATATACACAAAAGACTGTAGTATCAAGTAGGACACTAATAGGTAAGAGGGTAAGTAGGACAATAATGGCTTTGACAGACTTTTCTCCAAAATCATACGGTAGAGCAAAAAATGCTAACTTGTAGGCCTGTGCATCGAACGGGTTCGGACAGTTCGGATATCAGAACCGTACATCCGATCGGATTTCGGTTTTCAATACGCCCTATCTGATTGAATCATACATGATAAATACAAAAAATCATACATGATAAATACAAAAAATCAAAATATCAGCATTCATCATCTTCCTGTAATCCTGTGAACAAATGGCATAAAATCCCTAGCTTTCATCATCTTCCTGTGTAAAGACAAAACACAAGTTAAATATAACCAATTAAATAGCTTGGGGCTGTTGGGCAGAAAAATGGAAGGCTCAGATTGCTATGTTTTCATGTCAAAGTAAGATTGGGGGCAAATTGCTACTTTTAGTATTGGAATGCAATTATGCAAACCAAAACTAACGAGCAACATACCAACCCAAAACCATTTCAGACGATGGTGGAAGCATCATCATAGCCAAATAGCTTAGCCAACTAGTAATTTAGTATAGTAATCGGTAAAGAGAAATAACATACTGACTTACTAAGAACTTGAGAATAAGGGAGAGTGACTGTTATTACCACATGACATTCATATATACAGTTATATTCACTTATACCTGACGGGATCATACTTATGACTTATCATAGTATCATAGGAATGAGATCAAACTCCTCAAATAGTCAAAGGCTTGAATGGAATCAAAGGCAGCAATAAATCCAACAATTGAATTGTTAGTAGTTATCCAGCCATTAATCACTATGTTTGCTCCTTAAGCCACTTTTCCTCGTTGAAAATCAAATAAAAATTAAGTGAAAATGGAATGAAAGACTGTAAAGTGTAAATAAAACATTACTGGAATGGTAGGAAGGGAAAAGGCAGCAACCCCAGATCTTGTGGTTCCAATTCGACTTACTCCAGTAGCCAAGTCTGCAAAGTGCAAATAAAAACAAATAAATTATAATTTGAATGCAAATTTAAAATGGTAAAAATAGAATGTAAATTTTAAATAAATGACCATGTTCAAGCTTTTCAACATCATCATTATTTTCCTCAACCTTAACTGGTTGATTTGGTAACCACATTCAGTCTTGTGCACATACTAGGGCCTCCACAATTTTAGGAGTTAAAGAACTCCTAAATGCATCTAATACCCTTCCACTAGTACTAAATGTACTTTTTGAGGCAAAAGTGGAAATAGGAACTGCTAGGATATCCCTTGCCATTTTGGAGAGAGTAGGAAACCTCTCACTATTTAGCTTCCACCACCTAAAGATATCAAAGTCAGGAGTGTCCTCCACAATTTTTTCACTTAAATAAACTTGAAGCTCTGTTTCTTTACAGCTTCCACTAACCTCCATTTTTTGCCTTTTGAGTTTGTTCTTTAACATATTTTGAGGTCTACCAATTATGGTATGAGACTGGACGGAGGCACATCTGGTTGGCTACCAGAAGATAAATCAGAAGATGATTGTTGCACATTGACAGAGTAGGTTTCTGCATAGTCACCAAACAATTATACCATGGCAGCTTGGACATTCTCTAAATACTTCTTCCCATTATCTTTACCATGCAATTCCTCAAACTGGTATGACATATATTCCAACTTATCTCTTGGGTCCAAGATATTGGCAAAGAAGATCAAGGGATTCATTTTTTCAGGATCTCCCCAATACTTTTCAAATTTAGTTTTCATTTGGGATCCCATAACCTAAGAAAACAGTGAATTAAATACAAATAACCAAAAACAAATTCATAAATAATAAGATTAACCACTGAAAGTCTGAAAATGATAAAATCAGAAAATTACCTCTGTAGAACTACTAGCAACAATCATGTTACTCAACATGCAACTCAAATCAGATATCTCACTGAAGAAACTGTTAGAGGTGACATATAGAGAACCAGAGATTCTCACTGTCATCTCATAAAACCCTTTCAACAGAACTACCAAGCATTCAACAGATCTCCAGTCAAGAAAAGAAGGGACAGAATCACCCAGATCAGTAGCAAATGAGGGCTCATTCAATGGATATTCATCAAACACACTCTTGTATTGTATGGCAGTGCTAAGCATCATGTAGGTGTTGTTCCATCTTGTTGGAACATCTAGCTGTAAAGAACATTTTGCTTCCATCCCAAGCAGTTCTGCAAGCTCTTTGAATTTTTTAAGCTTTGCAGGTGAGTTCCTCATCCATATAACAGAATCCCTCACATTCTTAACAGGACTATCTGCAAATTTTAACCCATCCTGGACCACCAAGTTTAAAATGTGCGCTATGAACCTCATGTGAATATACTTACTCCTAACAGTGGTTGTACCCCAAGACAACAATTTGGACTTAAAAAAACCCATAGCAGTATCATTGGAAGAAACATTATCTACAGTGATAGAAAAAACATCCTTAATCCCCCAGTCAATCAAACAACTCTCTAATGCCTTAGCTATATGCTCACCCTTGTGAGAAGAAATAGGGACAAAGGATATGATTTTCTTATTCAGCTTCCACAGATCATCTATGAAAAGGGTTGTAATGCACACATAATTGATCATCTGCACAGAGGTCCAGGTATCAGTAGTCAAACTTACCCTTTGAGTGTTAAGTCTAAACAGCTTCTTAAGGTTTAATCTTTCATCAAGGTAAATCTAGTAAATGCCCCTTGAAATTGTCCACCTAGAAGGTATATAAAATCTAGGGCAAGCAACCAAAATGAACCTTTTAAACACTTGCCCCTCCGCAAACCTAAATGGAAGCTCATCAATAATTATCATCTCACCTAATGCCCTCCTATTGGCTTCCTGATTGAAAACCCAAGTCCCTAATTCCCCAACAACCCCTTCAGAACCCCCTGAGTATCAAATGTTGTCACAGCAGTGAAAGTAAGCAGTGACTGCCTAGTCTCCTCAGAATGGGGATTTTTTAGATAGGCAACCATATGATTCCTTAAAGAGGAAGTGCCATGCTTTTTAGCCTCACAATGATAGACTTTAACATAGTATATGAATTTACCCTTTATTACTTTGTTTTCAGAATCATGGATCTTTTCATAATGTTCCTAAACTTTAGATCTAGACTCAACCTCCTTCCGCTTCTTTGCAGGAACAACAGGATTAACCTGAGGCTGCTGAGCAGTTGTCTCAGTACCTTGGGCTACTCCTCCATGCCTCTCCTCAGTTGAGGGTGGAAGTCCAGATTGAGTGGCACTATCCATCTACAAAGATGGGTACCACTTTTCAGCTTGTGTGACAGAAAAGCCACATAATAAACATACAAAGAAATCCAGAATCAGACACAGTAGTTTGTGTCATATATCATTTTTCCAGATTTAACAGTTAGCAATTAAGGGTCATACATCCATAAACTGATAAACATAATAACATATACAATTATACAAACAAATCTAGATTCAAGAACTCACTCCAGTTCATCATTATTTGGATTTGAGTTAATTGTTAAGGGCTTCCACCAATAAATATAAATTCCAACACTGGAGATTTCACATTTAAGCCTTTTACTCGGATTGGGACATTACAAGTTTACAAGGGCAGAAATCACAACATCAACACTCAGAAATCAGTTTCTAAAAGGCTTCTACCAATAAATGAAATAATGGTGTAATATATCACCAAATATTCATCACAGTCTCACAGAGTCACAGAAGAGACAGAACACAATACATCTTAGTATCTCACATAAATCAGGAATTCAAGATATATAAAACTAGGGTTTTCGATTTCACAATGCTTTCACAAAATATTCACCACAGATCATCATAATATAACACAAAGTCACAAACATTTCTTAATATAAACTAGGGTTTATGAATTACTTGATTTCTCCCAAATAATCATCGGAGAGCAAGAACATCTAATCACCAGTTCACCACGGCTTCCACCACTCAAAGTCTCAGAGTCTCGACTTTCAACGGCCACTGCCCACCGGAGAACCAGAGACCACAGAAATCAGAATCGGAGAATCAGACTATCGGAGATTCGGAGAACAAGAGAGAACTCAAACTTAGAGATTGAGTCTAAGGCTCTAAGAGTCTAAGGAGAGTAAGAGATTAGAGACTAGAGAGTGAAGACTACAGAGTACAGAAGTACAGATAGTCGAGAGAGAAATGAGAGAGTGAGAGATCTCAAACCCTAGGTCAGCTGCGCAGATGGAAGAATGAAGACCAAGTCTACATCCGCATTCATATATACCTTGATGGAACGACGCTGTTTTGTACATAGCTTTGTGAACTCTAGGATAGTTCGAATATTTGGACGGGTCGAATGTCAAATTATCATCCCCCACCCGAATCCTCTTAACCGACGACGTTTTGAGACGCGGATTGGGTATAGAGAGTCGGGTTCGGTTAGTGATGGGTTGCGCCTTTTCGGCCATCGGGTGGGTCGGGTTGTGCACAGGCCTACTGACGTGCCTTGGAAATAGGAATAATTTGTAAAATATTACACGCAACTGAGCTGGCAGAGAGTATAACAATTTCCTAAAACGCCGTGTTTTCCTTGGGCGGGAAAATGGAGCCATTTGATTGGCTGAATCCTTCTTGCTTTTATATATACTAGTAACTAGTAATCGTCTCGTGCGATGCACGAATTATTATTAATTTAACAAATTTACCAATTAAATTTTTGACATCCTCTGAATTAGCAAAGAAAGTAATGGTTGTGGAAACAGAAAAGCGTACCTGAGTTCTTGAGCTCAGAATTAGTTTAATTAAAAATATAAGTATAACTATACAAAGTAATATTTAATATTTTTAAAAGTTTAATTATGCTATTATTATATTGATTTTAAAGTTTATTGTTACTTGTATTATTATTTGAATTTGAAATTTTTTTGAAAGGAATTTGAATTTGAATTTGAAATAACTACTTTAATTATATAACTAACGTATTTAAATAAAACTTATAAATAAAATAACAGGAAATATTTGTCGAAAATTTCCACCAAAAACTTATTCATTTGAAAAAGATTATTTGTGTAAGAACTATATTTATTTTATATCTAATTTATCCTCTTTATATATGTGGAGTCAAATTAATTATAATTAAAGTTTAAATGAATATATACACAAATTATATTAAATATAAAACTTTACAAATAAATTTGAACAAAATAAACTTTTTTTCATACTTCATTATGCTTTAATATATATATAGAGATAGAGATAGATCTATAATAATAAAATATAATTTATAAAATATAAATACACATAATAACTTCAAAAAAATATGTATAAATATATCTGCCCACACAATTAATGCATGCATTCATACTTGCTAATCTTGTTTAATTTCTATCAAAATGCATTCACACTTTGGAGGGAAAATTTTGTGGCTAGATTCTGCTTTATTATATATAATAATAATAATAATAATAATAATAATAATAATAATAATAATAAAAAGATAAAAAGATAAAGATAAAGATAAAGATAAAGATAAAGATAAAGATAAAGATTATTACTATTATTATTTAGAGATCTTGACCGTAAGCCGTAACGAAGAGGGTATAGAAAAGGAATCAATGTTTGTGATAGGTAAGCTAGCCCCATCTCACTCAAAGAGTCTCACCACCAGTATACAGTTCAACAAAACGCACATTATGGACCTGTGGCATAAGAGACCTTGACCGTAACGAAGAGGGTATAGAAAAAGAATCAATGTTTGTGATAGGTAAGCTAGCCCCATCTCACTCAAAGAGTCTCACCACCAGTATTCAGTTCAACAAAATGCAAATTATCGACCTGTGGCGTAGCATGGGTATTTGCTCTAGTGTCTGGATACCAAACATTTGAAAACGAAGCAGAATAAAAATCATTCGAGGTAACCTGCTCGTAATTACTCACCTGTTGCACCATATACACGCGATGAACAAAATTAGAAGTTGATGCCCGTGATTGCATGTGAGGACCAGCAGCAACGTAACCGTTGGGATTAAGCAGTGTCGGTTCTAAGCATGTCTATCATAGGCCCCCAAATTTTGGGGGCCCATATTTAAAAAAAGAGTTAATTCTATCGGAGGTCCTTTGTCTCTGTGACAATTTTAAATTTAGTCCCAGACTATTATTTTTGTCATTTAACATCTCAGACTATCAGATTTTGGACACCTAAGGTCCTTCCGATGACTTTTCCGATAAAAAGCTTATTTTGAGATCGAAAGG